ACACACACACACACACACACACATATACACTCACACACACACTCACACACACACACACACACTCACACACACACACACACACATATACACTCACATACACACTCACACACACACACACACACACACACACACACACACTCACGTACCTTGATGAATCTCTTGCAGTTGACGTACATGAGGACCAGAGAACGGAAACGAACCAAACTCGCTCTCATTTTGACGAAGCGCTTCCTAAGAATCAGAGACAGAAACACGTTCAGTCGTTCGGTTCAGGACGTCAGGATCTCTGAGGAAAACTTCACGTCCCTCAAAGGTCGACGGGGTTCTGAGCGATCTTTATACAAAATACTGGAAAAGCCTGAAAACCATCAGAAGATCGGCGTGTTCACGATGTCAGCACAGCTGCTCTAAAACCAGACCGGACTCTGGAGTGGACGTCACTCCACAGGCTCAAAACCTCGACCTAAACCGTCGTCTGTGGGCTCAGTCTGTTTCAGACGCACCGAGGCAAACCTACAAGGATCATGAATGCTGAACCTGTCGTCCTACAGAGAAGATGGACCCTCAACATCTTCACCAGAACACAGTCCAACACTCGACCTCCACCATGGTCTGTCCATGTACAACCGAACCAGATCTACGGGTTTAGGAGCAACTGGAGAGAAAAAACCTGAACTCTACGGAGACCTGAGACACGGTGACCAAACATCATCCTGTCCTGATAGTTTTCATCGTTTCTCATTAAATTCGTTCATTAGGATGAAGAAGAAAAATATTTTAGTTCGTTTTTATAAGTTTGTGAGAACTTTTTTTAAGTTGAAATGCTAATATTTTAGTTATAAATAAAAGTCTTGTTGTTATTTATTTAATACAGAAGGGACATAATTTCCCTCATTATTTAATTGACACTTAATAAAACATGTTGAGTAACCGTGGAGACGCTGAGCCTGTGTCTTTGGTTTTCGATGGGACTTGGTTAATAACAGAGGAGGTCTTCTTTAAAAGGAGTAAACCTCGTGGATCATGAGAGAATCTCCTCGTTGGTTTTCAGTCGTCAGAACATGATCACCGTACCTCACATGTTTTCAGCGTCACACACAGATTTTAACAGCGAGCTCTATAATAGGAGAGACCCGGCGCTAAACTAATCTGCTTTCAGCTGTAGATGTTCGAACCACAGTCCGTCTGTTGGTGGTGAGGGGACACTGACCTTGTAAGGAAGCCTCGGCACTGCGCCTGGAGACGGATAATCCTGCTGCGAAAAGTCACAAAGCGTTTCCTGATGAAGAACATGCGGGCGTAGCGTTGCAGGGTGAGAGCAGCGAGCTGACGGGCGCGCTCCCGTTTATACTCCAACAGCTGGTAGATGTCCTCCTTCAGAAAGAGCTGCCAATCACACAGGTTTAGGTCAATCATGAACAACGATAAAGGATCAGCTCAGAATCAGGAGAGGAGAAGCTCACTTTGGTGACGCCAACATGGTAGGAGTCTGGTCTCAGAGGACACAGTTTACCGAGCATGACCACACAGTTCTCGCCACGAGCCAGCGGAGGTTCTCGCAAACCCACCAAAGACTTATACCTGAGGACAGAACAGAGGGTGTCCCGTAAATGACTGTGACGAAGGGAGGAGGAGGAGGGTTAAAAGGAGGAAAGAGGAGGAGAAGGATTAGCAGCAGGAGCAGCAGTTGTAGTAGATGTTGTATCAGTAAAATGTCCAAAACTCTAAATCTTAATTTATATAAACACTTAAAATATCTGGAGATCTGTTTTATCTTTATTCTTTATATGTTTGACCAACATGATGCTGCTGGAAGAGAACCTTCCCAAAAGGATAATAAAGTCTAATCTAGTCTAATCCAGTCTAATCTAATCTAGTCTGGTCTAGTCTAGTCTAATCTAGTCTAGATTAGTCTAATCTAATCTAGTCTAATCTAGTCTAGTCTAATCTAATCTAGTCTAGTCTAATCTAATCTAATCTAATCTAATCTAGTCTAATCTAATCTAGTCTAGTCTAATCTAATCTAATCTAGTCTAGTCGAGTCTAGTCTAGTCTAATCTAGTCTAGTCTAGTCTAATCTAGCCTAGTCTAGTCTAATCTAATCTAATCTAGTCTAATCTAGTCTAGTCTAATCTAGTCTAGTCTAATCTAATCTAATCTAGTCCAGTCTAGTCTAATCTAGTCTAGTCTAATCTAGTCTAGTCTAATCTAGTCTAGTCTAATCTAATCTAGTCTAGTCTAATCTAGTCTAGTCAAATCTAGACTAATCTAATCTAATCTAATCTAGTCTAGTCTAATCTAGTCTAGTCTAATCTAATCTAGTCTAGTCTAATCTAATCTAGTATAGTCTAGTCTAATCTAATCTAATCTAATCTAATCTAATCTAGTCTAGTCTAATCTAGCCTAGTCAAATCTAGACTAATCTAATCTAATCTAATCTAGTCTAATCTAGTCTAGTCTAATCTAGCCTAGTCTAGTCTAATCTAATCTAGTCTAATCT